AATCTAATACCTAAATGAGATCTGAATCATCATGTTTATCTGTGGAATACTGTAACAACTAATTCATTTGCTCTAGTCTGTCTTCCCGTTTCCTTCTAAAGCTATTCCTTTTATGATATGTATTTAGGAAATTATACATATGGTAACTACAGTTGTCAGCAACAAATTTTATTTACAGCTTCTCAGGATAGCATAAACCACCCCCTCTGAACAGTTCTGCACTGGAAGATTTCCTGTGGAAAACCTCCAGCAGTGACTAGAATCACAATTCTCCCTAACATGTAAAAGCAATGTTAGCATCGCAGGCAGATGCGACTGCTACTGGATATGGGTACACAACAGTGCTGAGCATAGGCTCTATACAGCCTCTCCCTCCCATGAGGTCTGCGATCAGTGTCCATCCCTATAGGTGGACACTCTTCTTACCTTTCTATGGCAACCACACTGGAAGTTGAATTAAATTAATAGAGCTTGCTGTATTGAAAAGAATTCAACATGGAACAGCTTTAAAAGGATTAATCTCTTAGGTTTTTAGCTCTGCCCCGTGTCCTTTCTTCTTTTTACCCAGAGTCCTCATCTGTCACATTTCTCACAACAGCAAATAGTGACAGCATAGCTAGTCTGGTTAAAAGCATAAGAAACAGTCACATCCCTATCTGACTAAATATAAACATGAAGACACTTCAAGATAAAGAGTAATTACAGAAAAATGTCCTCCTTTTGCCTTTGTTATGCTGCTGGAGGAGTCCTAACACGCCGTAAGTGTACTTTCTAGGTGACCTGCTGTAGAGATGAATTTCACTCGCAGGGCAGGTGTTATGTCACGACTGCCTTTCTATCAGCAATAAACCTGAGAAATCAGACTGGAGACTGAGAAACTTCTTAAAAAACCAAACCAATACACCCCCTCCAAAAAAACTGACTTCAGCATTTAGAATGTACTATTTCTTAGTACACAGAACAAACTTAATAATATCAGATACTCAGTTCAGAAGAGCGTGGTTTTGGCCATAAGCAGTTTCTACTGAAAGATGTCCCAAGGAGTTATCTGTCCAGGTGCACTGGCCTCCATCTCCTACATCTCAGAGCCCCTTCTGTGTCACACAACAGACCATGTAACACAATCACCATGGCAGTCCCAAGGACAGCAGCTTTTCTGAGCACGTGGACAGTGACTGTCATGCACATGTGCTGCTGACCTGATGCATCCTGCAAGCATTCGGTTACGCTGGGGAGCAGACTGCTGCTGCCAGCACACTGCATGTGCACCTACTCCTTGCCATAAAGAGCTCACAGGGTGCAAGCGGGATTAATTGTTTAGTACGAAGTAAGGGGAACTTGGTGGCAACTGAGGTTAGTTTTTGCTTTCCTAATGGTTCACGATGCCAGAGCAGCTTCCTTAATATCATGTTTAAATTAGTATTTTAGTAAAATTCTGACCATTCTACTACCATGTAATTCTTGTAATTCTATCTTCTCTGCCTGGTGATTACTTACTATTTTCCTATAAGGTCAATTTTATTCTGATTAAATGAAAAAGTGGTGAGACAGACTGAACTAGGTGAACTGTCAAACACCTAGAAGACTTTTCAGCATAAAAGTATTCCCAAAATAAGCATTTCTGTAAGAGAAGACTTGACAAACAGCCTGAACAATAAAAATCTTGAACACTACCCAGTTGACGGGAGTCTTTTCAGGGCTAATTTATATAATTTGACATAATTACAGTTATAAACACTTGAAGAAGCCTTGGAAGGGTGTCACTGAAGTCTACATCTTACTGGGTCTCGTTGCATTTGGCAGCTGTACAAAACTGTGGAGCACGGAAATTTACTCAGATGGATCCTGATTATACAAACAGGCTTTGAATGCTCAGTGCAAGTTTGCCCTGTACAGAAAGATACCACAAAGTCTCCCAAGGCCTCTCTCAGTCAGCCAGCATGATGCATAGTGAAAACAGTTTGAGGTACTGGTGGTGGGTCCCTCCATATAAATGTCCATTAAACCACTATTTTGTCCACAAGGTAGCACTGGACATCTCAGTGTCTGACTCCAGCTGCCTACAAGCAAAAGTAGCCACATAACTTAGAATTTTAAAACCAAAGTAAAAGGTAAATTTTAAAAAAAGAAATCAAGTTTGATATATATACACACACACACACGTGTATATATGTGTATACACACACTCTTCTAATCAAAGATGCAAATTAATAATTAAATAATTCTGTAATAGATCTACAGAAGCAAGACCACTAGCTGAAGATGACCCCTATTTTCTGCTTTTGCTATAAGGATTTCTGTCCTCATTACATTTCAGCAATGCAAGGGAGGAGAAAAATGTTATCTGAAGAATCCTTTTTCCAAAAAGCTGTACAGTCTTCTGTCAACCAGACTGAAGTCCATGTCCCACCACAGACTGTCATGGTGCCTCTCAGAATATAGTGTGTTTTGCAGAAAAATGAGAACGTTTCCTCACTAAAATTTTAAGATACATGTCTGGAATGCAGGGCAAATGCTGATTTCTGTGCTGGCCAGGGAAATCTAGTTCAATTGGTTTATCCTGCTTTGGTTGGTAAGTCTGGTTGCCATTCCCTTTCTGAGATATTCTCTACTTGCACTGCTGTATTTTTAATTCCCTGTATCATCAGACATTCTTGTTGAATGGCTAGAGAATCCAGAGAAGTCAAAGCATACTTGCAGCCAAAGGAAGGTGCTATAAAAAGCTATGGCCAGCATCTACACTTTAATTAATATTTCACAAACTTCAAGACTACATAAGCATCAATACTTACAGTCCTGCTTATTTTCAGTAGTTCTGCTCACTGCATAATATGGAAAATAAATACCAGAGCTTTAAAAACGTAATAAAAAAGACTCTTTTCAGATAGACAGCTTCCAGTGTATTCACAGAAACACATCCTTTCACCAGACTAAATGGGAGCATTTCAAATAGATTTCATCAGTTGATCTTGGCAAGCCTTGATTACTCTGATTAGCTTTCTTCTAGCTTACAGAACGTACAACGGGCTGTACACCATGCTGAATATTGAGAAATAATGGCCTTTTAATTGCATTGGGTATTAACAAAATCCTTTTTGAACAGCAAGGTTTTAATTATTTCATTTGTCTCTTAATTTATCATAAGGAAACAACTAATTAGCTTTCACTTCTCCTGGGCAGAAGTTTCTTTATAGAAGACCTAAGTAGAGTCCATAGAGTCTAGTTTAACAGCACTGCACCTTCATTGGGAGATTGTATTTGGAACATGGAATGGAAATACAGACAGAAAACAAACCTAAGTAGTTAAATACCATTTTTGAAGCTTTTAATAGTTAAATTATCAATGCATTCTACTGCTGCCCCCCAAATCAGATCTAACATAATTAGTATTACAAAATAGCAGCAGTATTCTGGAGTAGAAACCATTACTTGTCACCAAAGGGTTGGGTTATACAGAGCAATCACTGAATAGGTGGACAGTACTAAAATTTAACTGAAATACAATTAAGTTAATTATACTTTTTAAAAATGGTACCAAAAATCAAGTGCAGAGATGGCCACAGTGAGGCCCCCCTCATGATGAGATTATTGTTACAATTTGAGAGAAGACATAATTAAAACTCTGCCCTTGAGGAGACTGGAAGTGAAAGCTGGGATATCTTTCCAGGTTAGGGATTTAAGATCTGCTGCTGGAGAGCTACCCTTTAAAGACAAAGATCTGGACTGCTTTCAAGTATAAATACAAACTATGATAATAGTATGCTTTACTGATTACTCTCTGCACTAAGGTAGTTGCTAAACTATATTACCAATGTCCTAAAATATACTGACCATGGCTGTTGAAGTCAAAGAAAACAAAACTAACGAATTGGCAGAAAACATATTTGCAAACCCACATGGATGATACAGAAAAATTAAATGCAGGAATAAAATTACCTTAATGGTGAGCCTCAGCCCATGGGCTGGAGTACACAACTAGATTTGTAACCTCAAAACTGCAGAGGAGCAACTGTGACCAGTCAAACTCACACTAGCTATTAAATTTTTCACAGAAGCTAAATCAGGTACTTGTTTTAGAAAGTATTGTAATCTCATTTTATTTATCCTAAGGAACTACATGTCAGTACCTGACATAGTAAACTTCCAATGTCTTAATGCTTACCTTAGGTAAAATTCCAATGTCTTAATTCCTACCTTAGGAAAATCTTACTTTCCTTTGAAAGACCAAATTTGATTATCTTTAGCTTCCAACCATTGGAACCTGTTTTGTCTTCCGAATAACCTATATCCCTCTGTGGAAACACTGATATTCTTTGAGTCACCTTGCCACTTCCTCTTAGCTAAACTGAACAGAGTGATCTCCATAAGCATTCTATTGCAGAGTGTTTTTTCTAGCCCCAGAACTTTTGTGGCTTCTTTAATAGTTCTCCCTTGTATTTCTAAATCACTTATGAAGAGTGGAAACCAGGCCTCGACTCAGTGTCCTATCAACATTCTCATCACTGTGAAATCACTTCTCAGTCTTTACTTGCACTTCTTTTTATCTCTCTCTCTCACACACATAAAAGCATTAGCCTTTTTAAGTAAGGAACTGCAAAAGTAGCTCATGATGAGGCTGTTACCATCAATGACCCACTACCCGCTTTTCTGAGTTGCTACTTCCAAAAAAACAAACAACAAAAAAGCTTTCTGTTTCTTGTTCCTAAATCGGTTACTTTGCATTTGACTCTACCAAAATAACTTTTTTTTTTTCTGATTGAGATACTTCTGTAGCGGTCACTCTGTGTTAGAAACAAGTATTTTCTGAGTTCACAATAAATTATAACACAAGTTTTATAACCTCCTGAGGCAGCTGACATTGGAATCAAATGTAAACATAAATTCCTGGTTCCGTGCAAGGATAAATCTGGTTCTGTTCTGTTAGTAAACAGATTACTCATGCTTTAGATACAGAAACAGAGCTTTTGAAGTTTCTGAAACATCTGCTGAGTAAGAATTACCTGAGTAAACTGCCAGTAAAGCTTCATTCTCTTGGCTTTGGCATAATTGCATTCAATGAGCCTGGGCCTGCTGTTCACATCCACCAGGCATCTGTTGTCATCATCGTCGATAGTGGGACTCAGAACACCCACATGGAGCTGCTGATTGCTTGTGTAATAAACATTCTGCAACAGGAAGCACAAACAAGATTTGTGGCCTCTAGACAGAAGCAGCACTTTTACCAAAAAGCTAATGGCAAAGATAAATATGCTGAATAGCAGTAGGCTGACCCCACAGTGGCTTTTAAATTATTTCCTTTCATGCAGGAGGCAACACAACATTTTACAAGTTGTTCTAAATTAACAATTAATTGTTACCAACAAGTAAACGTTGGTTAACTACTTAATAGGAAATACGCAAACAAAACTGATTGTTGTCTCATCATGTGCCTTTTTACTTCTGTTTCCTATGGTCCTGCACCGTGGGTCTTCAAAGAGCAAGGAAGTTCCTCTAGTAGGAAGTGGGGTTAGTTTGTGTATTGCCATCAACGCTGATTAGACTATTTCATCTGAGGATAATACGTAACTGGAGCGGTAAGAAAGCGAAC